TCAACACATATTTGCGTACTTTTCACTAATTTCAATGATTCAATTAAATTATTTAGTTCAGTTAATATTCACTAACTTGTACTTCTACTATTATAACTACGAAGATTAGTGAAAATCCACTACTGTACCAAACTTGAACCAAGTTATAAAATATATCAAATTATGTTTATTATTGGCAACAGAAAATAACTAACATATTTTACTTTGATAAATGAAAATTATACTTCAGTAGAACAAAATAGAAGTGAAGTGTTTCATTATCCAACTTCATCAATAGATATTGCTGCCATAAAAATCAATAATTTTGTAGAAAATTGACATCGCAGCATTAAAAACACGTGTGGTCCTTCGAGCCGGATTAAGAATGTGTAAACGTTTAATTTGCTTTTGAATTTTGTATTGCGCTTACATATACTGTACACGTTAGTTCACAAGGTGGACTATGTATATCGAACACGTTAGTTTGGAACTATCTTAACCTATCTTGGAAAACTTGTTAACTGTCTTTGAATTATGTGAGCCCTTACCTCATCCCAACAAAGTGTAATAATTGGTATTGGTATTGGTTACTCAATTGCGGACCACGCTTGTCAATCAGGCTTGAACGGAAGTGTCAAACTAGGCTTTTGCCATGCTTGGTACAGTATTGGAAAATCTTGGACCAAGCTTGGTTCTGCCTCCCTACACGCGAATCTCACCATACTTGCTTACTCAGAATCAAAAATTGTACAATTTATTTTATTAACCTCATTACCTGGTAATTCTAAAGGTATTATGCAGTAATTTAACCTGTCTTCCCCTGCTTCTCTTTACTCTTGTTTCTGCTTCTCTTATTAACTTCCAGAGCGCTCTTTGTCCTCATATATTCTTTCTGATACCTGCTCATTTCTATAAGAGTACATCTCAACTGCTTCTATCTTTTTTTAATATTTCATTATTATAAATTAATCAGCAGAGGATAGCGCAGGATCGTGTCGTCTTTAATAAAAAGAAGTCACTTCTATGCTCGCGAACGGTTAATTTAGAAATTCGAAAAAGGTTGTTAAAGGTGTATGGTTGGAGCACGACGTTGTACGGGTGTGAAACATGGACAGTGGGAGCGGCGGAAAAGAAAAGGTTAGAAGCTTCGAAATGTGGTGTTATAGGCTGATGATGAGGATATCGTGGGTAGAAAAGGTTAGAAATGAAGAGGTATTGGAAAGAATAGGAGAACAGAGGACTCTATGGAAGTCAATAAAAAATAGGCGAGATAGGTTGGTAGGACACCTTCTCAGGCATGAAGGTCTAGTCAGAGACATATTAGAGGCAGAAACAGGAGTTAGGAGGGGTAGAGGTAGACCTAGATTAGATTACTATTCGCAAATAGTTAAGGATGTGGGCTGTTCTAGTTTAAGGGAAAGGCGAAGTTTAGCTCAGGATAGGAAAGAGTGGAGGTACGTGTCCAACCAGTCTTAGGACTGATGACCTTATGATGATGATAAATTAATCAACTTTGAATTAATGTGTTTTTAACAACTGAGACAATGAATTTTATTACAATTAAATTATGATTGAACTGATTTCGCGAGATACCTAGTGACAGAAACTAGTACTATTTCGTCAAAACATGCAATGGAATAGCTTATTGTTTATGTATTTAATTATTGTTTGCTGCGATGTGATTAAAAATTACATTTTTAGATATTTGCATGCCGAGCAAAATGAATGATCCGAATACAAAGGGCTGCAAAAGCCGTAAAAATAAATTATTAACTAATCCTTAATTATATGGATGGATCCACAACAATGGATCATATTTAATAAGGTCGTGATCGAAGGTTTGGCTTTCCAAAAATGGAATAATTCATGTAGGTAGCAGAAACAGTACCTACGTACATCTGTAGTGCTGTGGAAGTCAATAAGAGAAACGACAGATAGGACAACAGTAGGACATCTTCAGTGATATGAAGACCTAGTGAGACATATGAAAAGCAGAAACAGGAGTTAAGAGAAGTAAAGGTAGACCTGGATTAGATTACAGTGAACAAATAGTTTAGGATGTGGTACGTTCTAGATAGGTTGGTAGGACATATTCTGTCATGAAGGCTTAGTTAGAAACATTTTAAAGGCAGAAACAGGAGTTAAGAGGAGTAGAGGTATACCTAGATTAGATTACTGTTTACAAATAGTTAAGGATGTGGGATCTAGTTTTAGGGAAATGCGAAGATTAGCTGAGGATAGGAAGAAGTGGAGGTGCGTGTCCAACCAGTTCTAGTTTTCGGGAAATCAATGTTGACTTAGAATAGTAAAGAGTGGAAATGCGTGCTGAGTAACCTTAAGGACTGACGATATTGTGACTATTACTTTATGTTTCTTAAATGTTACAATAGTCACTGGCATCACTTAACTTGAACCAAATTCTCCGAAAGCAAGGGCACTTTTAGACAGTATTTACAAAAACTCCAACATACAACTGTAGAGACTTGGTTAGATACCCGTTGTAAGGATTACTGTTTACATAATGTACATTTTGCCGTTGAATTGTAATAGATGTAATATAGTTTCAAAATTTAGCATAATTATTAATTTTTATTCAGTTTTCTTAAAAAAAACAAACAGAAGCTGCGTTCTATTTATATGTGTACATGTGTGTTTGTGTCGTATTTCGTAATTTACTTGATATCTGGGCCTATCTCTCGGAACAGGTTCCAAATTTTATCGGAAATTTGCTCTCAATCTGAATATATATTCCTTTACTGCGTCGCAAAAGAATTTGTCTTCTAGATTGTCGATATAGAAAGATATCCACGTGTAGACGAATTCAATTTGTGATCGTGTTTCAAAAGAAAATTGAAATTTCGAGTTTTATTTATTAAATAATGCTTCCATAGATTCGTGTTACAAAGTGATCTGGGACGATCTCAAATTGTTTACCACATTTGTAAGAATGCTGGTTCCATTGTAACAAATGCAAATTACACGTTGTACGTACGTAATATTCAGTTGTTATAACCTTTCAAAAAATAACGTCAAGAAACAGAGAAATGTAAATCTCTATATGTATACAGGTACGGCAAAATGTTCACCGAACATAGAAATTACTCATTTGTTTGTCAGCATTTTCTCTTTTTAAGTGGCATATGAACGAAAACGCATAATTTGATAAACGTGTGGAGTATAATTTGAGTTTTATATAGGGTGCACTACAACGAATTTTGCGAAAAGAGTGATTTAAAGAGTTGGAAGAAAAAAGAAAATTTAAAAGTTTCGAGTAGAGTCGAGTAAAATGTCATTCAAAAGATAACAAAGCTCTAACTCATGAAAATCATAGTTCTTAAATTATAAACAGTAATATATGTGTATTTTAGTAACTAAAACAACTAAAAAATTGGCCTATTATTACTAATAAATATTTCTAAGAGAAGCTACACCTAAGTCGTCTATTTTATTTACATATATTACACCATCCATTATACTTCCTGCTTATAGAGCCTAAAACTTCTAATATCCGATAGAATAAAATTGACCCAAGATTCGTTTGGTTAGATTTATAATAATAGGCAAAATTTATAAACTATAGCAAGAACGTCAATCGTCTCCAATTACTTATTTAAACAACGAACAGTTATACCTCCCTTTATCTTTTATTTTTATTATAATCAATGAGCAAAAAATTTTTTTTAATACATAGGAAAATGTATAATTATAAACAAATAACATTGCAGTAAGTAAATAATACTAAACTGTAATATTTTACGTAAAAGAATTATTTGTATAATTATTGATTAAGAATAGGTCTAATACTTTTTTTTAAAAAATTGAGTCATATGACTAGTAATATTCAATAGAATAAATAGTTAATTTCAAATACTCTAGCAAGTCTGAAGTGATAAGATATATTCCCAGAAGAGAACAAATCATTTCGAAGGAATTTCGGCAGAAGTTCTCCTTTTCCATATTTGGATTTATTGATATCCTCTCTTAAAAAACGCCTTTCTGATGACATGTTACGGGCTTTCCTTACTTTTATTATTTGTTTTTATTATATCTTACTGGTTCAATCTTAAAAGTAATTGTTTTTACAAATACGGTGTTATTATGAAAGAGAAAATACTATTTATGAAGTTCATATATGGTGTTATAAAAAGATTAAAATGAAATCGATTTTGAAGACATACATGTAGATACCGATATATAATTAATAAAACTTTTTCTACAATTCGAAAATGAGATCTATTGCGGATGTGTTTGCTCATGGTACAAAAGAGTATTAATTCCCAACATAAACACAAATATGGTAATGATACCTTGTACAGATTTGCGGACGACCCAAGACGCCCAAATTTTATTCTGTTAACTTTCTTTTCATTTTACCTTTTTATCATCCACCTGAATAATTTATGCACTTGCATAGGTAATTAATAATATTTAAGTGAACTTAACAGCGTCACGTGAAGTAGAAGAATCCTTTTAATCCCCCAGTGTAAGCTCAAAAACCACGAAAGAGCAGTAAAACACATTTATAAAAATAATTTCAATGTCAAAGTAAAACATCAAAATCACTAAGTACATATTACTTAAACAATGAGGAAGTACCATAGTAATTTTTACAACTATTGCTCCAATGATTTTACAGCACGCAATAATTTACTGTACGTAGTCGTTAAAAGTTTAATATTTTCAATACCTACGCATACGCAACAAACCAAAATGTAAATACATGTAAGTAAAAATTTGTAAATGTGCCAATCGAAGTTTGAACTACTTTGAGGTTATGAACTACAAATTGTTTAAAATAAAACAAATACCAAATAATAATCTTGCCTGATAGCCTGGATCCACTAAGAAGTCCTATAATAAGATGTAGTTGGTGGAAGTGAGACCGAGAGAATCAGGCAGCAGTATTAACAAAGACAGATACATACAGTACAATGATGAGAATGGCGATCACAACCTACCTACAATGAAGAATCAAACTATAAGCGCTTTATTCCATTTTTTTGTTATAAATATACCTTTACCTTAATTAGAGCATCATCTTTACAAAATATCCACCATAATGTAACTATTCCATCACAAATACAATCGTAATTCGCAACACACAATCCGAACAAATCTGAAATAACTCACTACCATGCTGACTTACTGACTGGTTTCAAGTCCAAGCATGCTTTCTAATCAAATAGATATGCGCGATTCTCTCAAGGACAGTCTCAACACTGACGATACCGAATTACTCAACTCCGTAAATTTATCCCTTTCACTTTGATAAGAATTGCTGAGCTATTGTGCCATCTTACAGAGATGTTTACAAAACTAACGATTAATTGCCTATGACTGGCGAGCAGAAAAAAGATTTCTAATTGTTCATAAAATACTAAACATTCAGATGATAACTGGAGCATTTATGAAGTTCTAAAAGAAAAAACAAGGGACGAACATTTGAAGTATGCTCAAGATGATGCAATAATAATTAATTTATGAAGTGTAAGTAGTTAGTAGAAAAGAACGAGTAGTGGAATTTAAATCGGAAAGCTCATAGATAGCTTAAACTTGGAACGAAAAAATGCTTTAGTTCCGTAGTTAGATAGATAANATCAAAATGTATTATAAAAGGTCAGAAAACATTGAGAACGTTGACGTATTTAGAACTGATATTGTGACTTTTTTGACAATTTGTATTAGTCGAAGCAAAAGTCAAAGGTGTGATTTGTAGACAGTGTAATGTTTGTTATGCACTGATCATGTGATTCGTCGCTATAAAAACTTGAAGCAGGTCCGGATTAAGAAGGGGATGGAGTGAATAAGGATGCATCTTTGTAAATAGACGGAAAATATAGACATACGTATAATAGAAGAAGATAACAAAAGAGTACACGTAATTTAGAGAGCATGAGGGTTGTTAGAAAGTACGCGAGGATTGTAACAATTGATCGAGTCGAAAGTACATAACAAATATACCAAAATATAAAATAGTTTCTTATCTTTTTCATTGTTTTCTGTATAAAAAATGGAGATAAAGAACAACGCGACGACCATTTTTCATTCTATAGTAGTAGTTAGTTAGTTAGTTAGTTAGTTAACTTGCGATATGAAATATAATAGTGAAGGAAGCTAAATAACAATTTTGAGACCAATCAAAATTCCTAAAATTTGAAGTTGAAGTCTATTCTTTTCCAGAGAAATCTTCCTTGAATGAAGCATTACGCTAGAAATCTTTCAATGCTCTTATTCCAATTACATTAATACTAAGGCAATGAATATTTTGAAAAAATTAAATTTCACATTAAAATGTTTGGTTTTAAAATTCTACTTATTTGATTCCCTAGATACTCACTAATATTGAAATGATTTATTTACCCATACAGTACTTTTTTTTTTCGCAAAACCAACCTTGGTTTGACAACAACTAAACAAATTACTTTATTTCTTGTCTACTTGACTTCACTTTACCTTTTCTTTGTGACTATTGTTCTTTTGAATTCAGTTACATTGAACCCAAGATAAATATCAAACTCGCTGTTATTCAGTTAGCTGGGTGTCAATAACTTATTTCTATTTCTACCTATACATAAAAACAAATACATCTGCACGATATTTTACCAAAGGATAAAATGTGTAAAATAAATTTTTATTTACTTACCTTGCACATCATTTTTATTAAAGAGTCGAAGTCGATCGAAGTTACAATGCGACAGAAACCTATAAAGATGATTTTATCCGACGTGTGGTAGATAAAAAATAAATTATTTTTGATAATTTAATTTTCTTCACTCTCGTTGGTCATCACCGTAAGGAACCTACCTTCATCTCTGTGGCCCTTACAGGGAAGTTCCAGTACGTCTTTTTTACCTATTTATGAATTATCTTTGATATTAAGATTGCATGTAGTAAGTACAAAATAAAATACTTTAAATTACAATAATAAATTCTTTTAACTTACGTGTTCGTCATAAGCAGTCTGGATCGGCAATCCACCGGTAGGCACTCGACAATTTAATATGAAACAAGTATCAGAGTTATTGGTTCGCAGTTCTAAATAAAATTAATAAAATGCAAATTATGATAAACTATGTAGTTTATTTGACTTTCATATACACTCACAAATTGAGAGGCGGCCTAAGCCTTAGGATACAAACATTTACCTATTATTATTATTAATATTCATCTTGATCATCGTCAATTTATTGATTGAATGAATCGAAACTAATAAGCGTCAGAAATTTGAAAAAACCAAAACATTCCCTAAATAACTGTTTCTTGATTCGTACAATAGTTCAAAATGCGCAAGCAGTTTGATGACAAAGCAAACAAACATTATAACAGCAAATTATAATGATTGTGTTCACACGGTTGTGGTACATCATATTTTAAAAAACAGATCTCCTAATAAGTAGGCGTCGAATTAAACTTAATATATACATCACATAACGAAAAATAAATTATTTATTTATTTATTGGTTTCAAGATTACTAAAAAATACTTAAATCTAAATCACTGAATCAAGTCTTACACTGCGCATTGTGTATAACAGTAAACGCAAAACTAACAATAATAGAAGCTGTCAACTAGCTACAAATAATTTACATTGTTACACAATAATTAACTATTTACATTTACAAAGATGCAACCGCTCTAAAAAATAGATATTTTATATTATTATAGTTTAAGTTTTAATTAAATCACTGGCGTTTGTACAAAACACATCGTAATATCGCACTGGTTGCAAGGGGTGGGGGGGGTTGTGCTATTACACTTAAAATACAAAATATAACACATAGGGACGCAACATAAGTTAAATCGAAAAAAAATAGATACGTTCACTATAAATATCAGAAAATATACGCAAAACGTCTAGGTGTATAAGGTCCAGTAAAACAAATTCAATCAGCGTAAATAAAAAATAAAAATAAATGCATGCAAAGCAGATGTAATATAAAGGGAAGGTTTTAATGATAAAAAGTTAGTGAAATTACGAAGCAGCGACAAAATCACAATCGAGCGCAAAAATCGCAAAATGTGTGAAACATTGTGAACGATGCCCATTGTTATAAGTTATAATATAACCATAAAACACAGATTTTATCGATATATAATTGATGTGAATACTTAATACAATTGTCAATTTACTATACTAACGACCGTAAAAAATTCATTCATAAATTTTATGATGTGTCTACGACTTTAGGAATAATGAATGTATTTATAATTGATTGATATTGCATTAACTTTTTTAATACAGAATATTTGATATTGCATTTTAATTATCTACTGTTAAAAAATATAAACTTTTGGCTGTGCATGTTTTAATAGTCAAAGGATTCAATAAACTGGACAATTTTTTCGGCTAACTACTCATTACTTAAATATAGTAGTTTTAGTAAGGAACAATTGCGTCCAAGTGTTTTTATTGTTAAATATGTCAGTTCGGCACTTAAAAATGATACAATCACAAACTGCTATTAGAGTGCGATCGAATAGAAAAAGTTCACCTTTTTATTTTTTCACGATAACTCAAAACTTATGCAGGTTAGGGGCTTATTACGGGAATGTTTTTCTGTAGTAAATTAAATTACTCATCGGAAAACCTTGTTGAAAAATTCTTCTGATGTTTTCAATATCAAAAATGCTTGGATACAATAAAAAGATGAAAATGTGACGAAAATCATGTTATTCTTATATTAAGTCGTTCATA